CAAGATGTTTTTAGGTGACAACCATCTAAACAAATAACAGGTCTGCAGCCTTCCCTAAGACCCCTTTTCAAATCCTCCCAGCAAATATACATTCTCTTGAAGAATGGCTTACCATCCACCAAGGTGCTCTTAATTTTCACAGTACTGTCAGGGTTTGACCTCATGATTTCCTTAGCATATGACCACAACGTTCCATATTGCTCATCATCCGTTCCCACGCCTATTGCTTTCACTATCTTCTTTGCCTGATACATTTGCCACTTGCTGAACATCAACTTCACTTCCCTTTGCATAATTGCCATCATACTCTGAACTGGCCAAGTAGGATCACTAAGAAACTTTTCTTTGTATTCATTGGCTATCCATGAAGCAGTAGCATGAGAGTTCTTTTGCGACCTTGGACATTTGTGCCTACCATTGTAGGTCTTAACTTGGACAATATCTTCATTACTTAGCTTAGATGCATAAATGAGCCATGGAGATGATTTGTGTGTAGCGCCCCGTTCCTTTTTAGTAAGATAATAGTTTTTGCGTTGCTCGACTAAGTTTAAACCTTGTTGTTTATTTCTTCTTCTTTGCTCTTGGTTGATTTTATTGTCCTAAATGTTACGTTTGTTTTCTGAATTACTTGCTAAAGTGATTATTTGACTATTTGCTTATGTGATTATGTGATAATTTTCCTGATTAATTGATTTTTATACCTAAGTGATTATTTGAATTTTTAAGTGTGTTCTTGCACTTATAATTGCTAAGTGTCCTTATGTGATTTATTCTGCCCAAGTGTTAATTTGTTTTCCTATGTGATTTTTTGATTAATGTACTTATGTGAATTAATTATTTTCTTAAGTGAACTATGTGATTATGTGTTTTGTTTTTTAAGTGAATATGTGCTTTTGTGAATTAAATGCTAAGTGATTATTTGTTTTTATGTGTAATTGTGTTTGTGCTTATTTATCCTATATGGGCCCAATTTAATTTCTAGTTGCCTAATTATTGCCTAGCCCACATTAAGTTATAAGAAAAGCCTATGTAGTTGTGCCCAAGCACACCCTTTAGAACTCCAAGCCCATAGTAGCCGAGACCAAGTCTCTTTGGGAAATTTTCATATCTCCTACTTGATTTATAAATATTTACAACTTTACCATACAAATATAATTAATTATGTACTTACTTAATAGACCACATTTAATTACATCAATG